CTGTTTGTGATGCTGCAGGGAGCCTTCCTTTCCCAAACATGTCATGCTGGTTTGCCATGTAGCCAAGCTGTGGAGAACACAACGTGGCACAGGTCGTAAGCGTCTTCTTTCGTTTCTGCACCCTTTTTGGTGACCCGATGTCGCGTCTCTTCTTTTCCCCACTCAAAGATTCCATAGCAAGAACAGTACAAACCATCTGATGCCCTAATGCCAATCTGGAGGTACACACATCTGTCGGAGAAAATCTGGATCGGACGCCAAAAGTCAGAATGACAACAACTCCCACAACGAACGAACCCGACTTGATCTGCTTCGAAGGAGTCTCAGTTTGCATCCACCAACGGGGACAACAGTAGCGCCTAGCTCTATTGTGAGTTTCAGGGTCACGTACCCATTCTGGATGGTGCAAACCTGAGAGTCCAAAGGCTGTATCAATGGCCGGAAGTTCATTCCGGACATCGGGCGCTCCGAGGGGTACCGGGAATCCAGTGTGCGGCCATGCCCAAACCATCTTGGTTCCTCTACGAACAAGGGCGGGTAGTAGCTCGGACGCATCCTAGTGATGTGTCGGACCCGTGTTCCATCCCTGGTGCCTCGACAGCCGAAGAACATCTCCTGATCCAACTGATCAGCCCACAGTCGAAGTCCCACAAGGGTAATTCTCTACGTTGCCATGAGGGGTTGACTCCAACAAGTCATTGAGGTTTGTAAGAAATTGGTACTGTGTAATCAACAGAAATTCTTTCCAGTCTTCGAACCAAGCTGCAAATGCCATTCCAAAGCTGCTCTGCTCTGCTCTGCATTCCTTTTCGGTCCTATGTCCATACCTCGTTCTCCCTAGCACAATGCCAGCAAAACAAAGCCCAAACTGAGAGAAACACAATATGTGTAAAACACTGTAAAACAACAGGATGAAATAGGGTCGAATGGTGTCTTAATTATCGAGCAATCTCTATCAGTAGCATGCAATGCTTGGATTCAACTGCGAACTAGACTAGACGTACTGTTGGCAGGTTGCTCCAGCTTCAATAGCTTTTCTCTTCTCACGCAGCACAGGAGGCGCGCTTCATGTTTCTTTCGGGCGGTCACAGTCGAGAGCTCCGATGCCAACCGTCAACCAAGTGAGTTCTCCAAACATTTACCAAGGACTCAAGTCCTGAGAAGCCGGTGGAGCAGCCGGCAGCAGAATCCCGCAGAAACATGGAAAAAAACTGCCGGCGACCACAGCAATTCCCACGACATACAGTCACACAGTTCCTTTATTTTACGTCCTTCATCATCCTTCTAACCCTGTACGAGGCACTGAAGGGCAAGAGGAAGGGGCACTGAAGGGCGAGACACAGAACGAGAAGAGGCTACAGTGTTTTGGGCCTGTTTTGCACCAAGTGAACCAAAGGTGCAACTCCCTAGCAACAGTTTTTAAGACCCAAAACTAAGACCCTAGCCTAGCCTTCCGTTCGATTTTGTCACAAGGCCGGTTGACCATCGCTATGTATACTACAATAAACCCCAAGAAAAGCAATGGCGGGCCAGGCATCGGAACCAAAAAAAAACAAACAAAGGAGTGTTTGACGGATTCACAGGTCACACCACCGTTTGACGGATTCGTCTTGGCGGGCTTGTCTCGACCGTGGAAGAACACCCATTCATTAACGACACGGCCGTGTGTCGAGACAGACGGGCCGCGTGCGGGTTGTAGCATCTGACACCCCGCGGTGTGTCTCAAAAAGTTCGGAATACCCATCAAGGTGTTGAAAACACGGAGTCAGGAGCACATCGATGGTGCAAAGCCCAAAATGCTTTTGATTGATGGTACCATCTACTCTCAATATCTCTCAATCGTGATTCAAACAAAACAAAAGGCCTCATGAGGGATCCGGGATCCTCCTTTTCTGAGACACACGTCATGTGAAATGGTGCTGTAACAAAAAAGCAGGCCCCGCCAGCACTGCATTTGAGTCAAGAACTTCTGGTGGAATTACCTGCAGGAAAAAAGAACATCGCTATGAAGCAGTGCATGCAACGCTGTCACATATAGTTTCTGGCAAAGAGCTATCCTGCATCAGTTCATTTGAGGATTTGATGTTGATTTTGGGGATGTACGCCAAAGGCAAACTGTCAGAAATGAATCGAACACCAGCAAGAAGAAAGTGCAATGCACCATGCTGACAACATCTGACTAGAAATGCATCCCCACTGGCGGTGAACTATGATGAAATCTGGAAGTTTGCCACAAAGAGTATTTGGCGAACGAACACCATGATCGGCAAATTGTATCTATACACTTTCACGTCAGGTCCGTGGCTTGTCTTGAGATGTCTCGGTAGGTCCACTGGTGTTCTTCTTGGTTGCAAGGGCCGACCTTTGCTGGACGTGCAAGGGTCCACCATCATGTCCAGCTTGCCGCTAGGAGCTTCCAATGTGGCCAAAGGCGCTTTGTTTCACTGGCATGATCAAATGTGTGGCTTCACACCTGTAAGAAAAACAAAGAATGGACCTGAGTATCTGAGATGCCTTCCGAAGATGGTGCCGAAACAAAGAATGCCTGATGATCTGGGAGGAATCCGTTCATGGACTCTTTCTCTCTTTCTTAGTCTAGACATGTCTATAGACTACATATACCTGATCCTAGATCAACCCATTGCTGCTCCTCACAAGAGCGACGATTCTCTGCTTCCACCCAGAGAGGTGCTGTGCAAAACACAAAGCGAGAGACAAAACCAACAAACCCCAGTGGTTGTGCATACAAAGGAGATTTGTGTATACAAACAACATCAAACAACCCATGTCTTCTTCGGGGGTTCTGAATCGTTTCAGGGTGGTATTTTCAGCATAAACATACGTTTTTTTGGATTCTGACGCTATGCTGTTTTCGAATGCATGACAGTCCCAAATCCAAATGCGTCCAGCCCCAAAAGGCGGCAAATCTCTCTCTCTCTCTTTCCATTGCTCCCATCAAAAGGCTGTGGTTTCGTTTCCTCTGTTGCTACTTATTGTACATGTTTCCCATCAGTGACAAAACCTAAACACACCTAAAATGTTCTTCACGCGGTACGTCACTGTTGAAGTTGGACTGAGTCGGAGCAATGTACCGGGCAGGTTTGGCCAGCAATGATTAGGTCCCTCCATGTGCCATACAGATCCAAACAGGTTGATAGGGATTTTTGCGGGACAGGCCGTCAGACCAACTCTTTCGGACAAGCTGGATCTTCTGAAGATCCTCAGTCAGTGTTTGGCGGCGAATTGGCTACCTGAAGACACCTCATGATTCACATCTTCATCGCTGTTGGCCCTCCTGCAGGGTGTTTTTGAGAGACGCGGCGTCCAGTCGCCACGACGAAGCATGAAGGCAACCGCTCGTCAGTCACCCCATGGTGTCCCATCGTCCTGTCTTCCCCGCATGGAATTGCAGCAACCAAGAAATCAGCACAAAGTCATCACATTCTGGTCTCTCCGCTTGGAATCGCGAGCGAATTCTAAACGGGCATCTAGAAGTAATGGTTTTTGAACATTTATCCCACAATGGAAATGGCATACAGCCATGGCATTTGAAAGCTTCGAAAACAAGATTGCCACCATGTAATCGCAACACAAACGAAATATACTTCCCCATTCCTTCAGTGGCTTGAGGGGACTGGTGGTTCTCATGTGTCTGATGTATTTTCTATGTGAACTCTTTGACAGTCTTTCACTGCAGCCATTAAACAGCAGAACCTAAGAACTGAGAAAACCAAATCAGTGAGCTGCAAACTCTCAGTGCTGTAAAACCTCATCACAGATTTCTTCACTAAGAAGATAAGAAGTCCGGCAGAACTTCTTGTCGATCAAAAGTATCTTGCTGTCGCTGATCGACTGAAACAAACTGAGGGGTCGCATGTTTAAAAGCACTTCGGAGAAACAAACAGAACAGAATCCCCAAAAGACTGCAGAAGGTTTGGGTGTTGGAAGAACAATGTTTAAGACTTTAGACTGCAGAATCTCGGAATCCCTATATAGACTGCTCGAAGAAGAATGTTTAGGTGCCCCTCATATCCTGGGGCTTGGTGGAATGTAATTCAGTTTGGGATCCACAAAACACAAGGTCTTGAAAGCAAGCACCTTTCAACTGATCCCCAAGCACCATTCAGCAATACACTCGGGTGGTTTGAAGTGGATCCCGAGAATGTGTGGGCAGCTGGCAGTCGGGTGGAGAACAAACGCGACGCGACGATTGGGTACAGGGAGTTCAAAGCAGATTGCATGCTTTGGTCAAACGTCAAAGTGGTTTACTAATGTTTACTATTTGTACTACATGTCAAACAACTACTAAATGGAGTTTTATGTCTTCTACTTCAGGACTGGAAATCACTCCTTTGCACACTCTTAAACTTTCACTTCAGTTGCACTGGACTTTCGGCTGGAGAATGAGATGCGACAGTTCATCAATGTCTACTCAACCGGGTGGGATCTTCGCCAAGCTTGCACCATCTGCTTAACCCAAAGAACCCGACGCAATTCCTGCCCAAAGTAGACGTTACCCCAAACGACAACTTTGTATGAAGAGGATCTTGACATATCTTGACCGCCATATCATTGGAAGAACCAGTTGTTCCAAACAGTCTTGTTTTGAGCGTAAGTGATGAGCAACATGAGCACAAAACAATCCAGAAAGAGCCGGAAAGAAGAGCAAAACGATGTGAAACAAGTAACACACTGTCAACTGGGTCCCTGCCGTTGCCCACCCTCCCACCCTTCCACCCATCTCACATCCCCTCATCCCCCACCTGTCCTCTTCCCTACCACCTCTGAGACCAACAGTGAGTGATGCAACCCGCAGGCTGCTCGGCAGAGCCGCAGCCGCGCCACGCTGCGCAAGACCCCGGGCTCCGCGGCGTCGTTCCACGCGCCCAGCGAAGAGGAGGATCCCTCGGCGGCCCAGACGTCGGTTTCAGAGCGGCCCAGCTTGCCGTACCTGGCAGCGAAACAAACAACTGGAGCTGGATTTCTTGGTTCATGGCCCATTAGGCTAAGCCCTTTTTCAACCCACCAGAAAACACACGCGAAATACGTCTGTTTTGCACCTCAATGGCCCTTCCACATGAAGCCCCTGTTCAACCACCAAACATAGGTAATTTAATGCAATTGAGCAATTTAATGTAATTGAGCAATTCAGTGTCTGGGGTATGGTCGGTCTTGCAAGCTTCTGGTTTTTGAGAGTGAGAGCCTTGGTAGATGAAGGCCTGGGACCATCTCTGAACGCCGAGGGGGTGGACTACCACGCTGGGACTTTGATATTCTGAAACCCAAGACTCTAGTGGCCGGACCATCCATGTATGGAATAGTTGCTTACCCCAAACGCTTCATGTCAGCAAATATGGGTTTGTATTGTTTTAAGGTTCCCGGGCCGGGATGTTTGACTATGGGGTATGCTTCGGAGGTATGCTTCGGGGGTATGCTTCGGGGTATGCTTCGCGCAGTGTGAAGACTAAAGTAACTGGGTATGCTTCAGGGTATGCTTCGGGGTATGCTTCGCCTAAGTCGAACATCCCAGTCCTACATAAACTGGACACCTTAAAAAAAAGACAAGCCCATATGGCCTACATTCACAATCAAAAATGATCAAACTGTGGACCATATTTGCATACATGGAGCCTCTGGGTACTGGTACATGCATGGGTCATAAAATGGTGATCACTGATGATCCAATGGCAACTTTTTATTCATAACATTATATATATAACATTTGGGTCTATCCTAATACCTGTAAGAGTGGATGATGATGGTTCAGTTGCAGGTCTTGTTCCAAAATCGTGATGTACTTGTTGGACTAGGTCCTGTTACAGGTCCAGGTCCGACAGACCCCCCCAAAAAGCATTCTAAACCTATATTGTCATCCGGATGGGGAAGCTCGGACGTATGTTTGATGTTTTTGTCTCCCCCTATTGGTGAGAAGAAAAAAAGAGGAACACCACGAAGTGAACATCTGATCCGGAATTGGCGAGTCAGCCCCAGCAGTGATTTCTCTTGCAACTTCAGACTTTAGATGCTTCAAG